GTGTGTGTGTGTGTGTGTGTGTGTGCGCGTGTGTGTGAGTAGGGGGGCCGCGTGTGTCTGCACCTGCTGAGGGTTCAGGCTGTGGATCTCCATTATCCTCTGCAGATTGGACAGGGGCGAGTCCTTGGGGTTCAGGCCGTAGCGCCGCAGGAACGCGTTGGACATGCGCGGCGCGGTCACGCCCGCCGCGCCGCCCGCGGGCGTCCCGGCGCCACTACTGCCGCCGCCGCCGCCGCCGCCGCTGCCGGTGCTGGCGGCGTCGTGCGGGGCGCCGCCGGGGCTGGCAGACGGAACTGAGGACCCCGGACTCTCCTCGGGGCCCCCCCATGCGCCGCCGGCCGCCTCGGCCGTAGACACATCAATGGACGGCCGCGCACGCTGCTGCTGCGGGCCCGAGCCCGCGCCCACGCCCGCGCCCACGCCCGCGCCAGCGCCCGTGCCCGTGCCGGCAGGCGGCTGCTGCTGGTCCCGTTGGTCTAGCGCGGCGCCGGCGGCGTCAGAGATGCCCCCGCCGCTGCCGCTCCTCGCGAGCGCCGAGCCGCGCAGCAGCGCCGAAAAGTCCCCGCCCGCCGCGGCGGCCGCCGCGGCTGCGGCGCCCTGCTCAAGCAGCGCCTTCGCCCCACCGCCCGCCGCGCTTGCGGCCGCGGCGCCGTGGTGCGCCTGCACGTACGCAGCGGCCGCGGCCGCCGCGGCGGCCGCCGCCGCCGCCGACACTGCATCGACGCCCTGGTCCCCGCCCGCGCCTGAGGTGCCCGGCGCGTCTGCGCCCTCGTGCCCCGGGCTGCCGCCGCGCGCCGCCGCCGCCGCCAGCTGCAACTCCAGCGCCTGCGGCACGCGCATGCGTTCCTCGGGGCCGGGAACAAACGCGTGCGTCGGCGTGCGCAGCTCCCCCGTGAGCGAGTGCGCGAAAAAGCAGACGGGGCGCCTGCGGGGGGTGGCGCGGCGCGCGGCGATGGGTTGGCGCTCGGCACTGAGGGCCGGCTGCAGGAGCAGGCTGCTGCCGCTGCTGCTGCTGCTGCCGCTGCCGCCAGCAGGCGTGGTTGAGCGCAGCTCCGGCAACGCCTGCGACCAGAAGGCCCGGTACGGCCCCGGCAGCGCCGCGCCACGCCGCGCCGCGCACACCTGCAGCGGTTGCCGTCCTTGCAGAGCTGCGTCCTGTAGCGGCTGGGGTGCAGCCAGCTCTCAAACACGCCATGCGCGTACTGGCAGGTGTCCCCCCGCAGGCACATGCCCTGTGGAAAGTGTACAGGCAGGGCATGAGCAAGCCGCCCGAGGGTGTGGCTGCGTCAGGATCTCGCAGGATGTTGCTAAGAACTTCGCGGCCACCGGTGCCCTACTGCCGGGTGCCAGACGGTCAGCCATGCGACCACAACTCGCAAGACTGCAGTACACTGTGTAAGTGCAAGGCAGCTTCCCCCGCACCTGCTTGTAGTCGGGGCAAGCGATGCTGCTGTACCGGTGCTCCCGGGGGTCCCGCCGCCGCGCATTCTCCGTGGGGTGCGCAAAGGGGCAGGCACGCCAGTCGTGCGCGTAGCGCTTGCTGCAGCGCAGCACCTTGAAGCCTGCGGGCGTGGCGTGCGGCGTGCGGCAAGGGCGCCAGGCGCGTCGGCGACGGCGGCCGCCTCCCGAGCGCGAGACCCGCGCCTCGCTGTAGTCGCATGTCTGTCGAGATGCGGACGTGCCGCGCACAGAGGCAAGCGCGCGGCCGAGCGTGCGCTAGCCCAGCCGCACGACTTCGCCATGGCCCGCCGCAACCGCGCCTGCCCCTGCTGCTGCGCGCCCGTGGGCCGAATTGCTCACAATACAAGCGGAACGTGTCGGTTGAGTACTCTGGCCGCGTCAGCTCAGACGTGCTGTAATTTGATGACTCGCCGGGCGCGTAGTCGTCGCCGTCGGCGCCGCTCGTGTCCTGCGGGGCGGACGAGGGGTGAGGGCGCGGCCGCAGCGGTTGGCTGGTGGTGCAGTTGCAGACACAGCACGAACGGGTGCGAGTGGAGGAAGCGCAGGCGTGCGCGCGCGGCAAGCGAATATCGGCATGATCAGCGCAGGGTCATGCCAGCTACAACCCTGAAGTTGACACAAGTAAGCGCTGCCGCCGCCGCCGCGCGGGTGCACAGGCACTCACTGCGCCAGCCTCCACACCAAAGCTGCTACTGCTTCCCGCACGCGCCATGTCGCCCTTCCCGCCGGCGACGGCGGGGCTGCGGCTGCGGCCGTCTGCGGTGAAATTGCCGGCGGCGTCGTCCAGCATGGCGCGGACGGTCGGGGCGTTGGGGCTGCCGCTGAGCCGGGCGTGCTGCAGGATGGGGCGCAGTGTGGGTGCAGGGTGGTTATGGGTGGTTGGTCCCTGTGGCGGCCGGCCCTGCTGCACAGCGAGAATGATTGCAGGTGCCCGGCGCTCTGATGCAGCTGCAGAGGCGAGAGAACACGGCCGCCGGCCGGGGGAGGGCTCCGGGGTTGTTGAGCGGCCCGGTGCCGATGCCCCTTCCGGGCGGAGCGCTGCACGGCGGGCCTGCCCCACACCGCCGCCACGCTCACGTCGTAGGCGGTGAGGCCATCTGATGACTTGTGATTCGGATTCGCTCCACGAGCCAGCAGACAGCTGACGCAGCGGAGAGACCCGTGAAACGCCGCGAGCTGAAGGAGCGTGCGCTTGGTGACCTGCACTCGCGGCTTGGCCTGGTCCTTGTCTGCGACATCAGCTTGCTTCCCAGGCTCGCTGCCCCAGCACAGGATCAGGTACTCCTCGTCTGCGAGAAGGGCGCAGCCCCCACCCATCATCGCGGTGCTGGTGCGGTGTGCCGGGGTGAGTTCGCCAAGAGGGCCCCGCAACAGGCTCCCATGGTCGCCCCAGCATCAACACATGCGATCACCCCACCTGCGAGGGCGTCGGGCGCCACCAATTGCTCAAGCTCTCTCAGATCATCCTGCTGGGTGACCGCATTAAACAAAGGAGTGGACCAGCTGGCAACCGCCTTGCCCAGACCGGGGCCGCTAGCGGAGATGTAGTGCCCAAGGACGCCGTCCATGATCTCTAGCTGAGCGACATCTGAGAAGGCTCCTGCACTAGGTTGAGAGTGTGGGTACCGCGAAGCCTCAGAAGCGCCGGTGAGAAGAGGCAAACGACGCTTTGCAGGAGTGGTTGCCCGGCAGGTATGCTGCGGGTGGAATGTTGCCGGCACTCTGGTAACTTGTTGGATGCTTCAAGTAAATTGTGCGTCAAATGCATTGCCTACGCTTGGCTGGATGCGGAGGCCAGCCACACAGGAGGCCAAGGAGCGCGCCCAGCACGGCCCCTTTGTCACTCGCCGCCTGTGTGACCCCTCTCTAGTGACGCCTGCGCGGCGGCTCCGCAGTGCAATCCCCCCGCAGGACAGCACATTGGCTGGGGCTTGGACAAATCAGCGGCTGTTGCCAAGCCGTTTGCTGGCAGACAGAAGCCGGGCAGCGGCGGCAGCAGAGGAAAGCGGAGGATCGCGATCCGTACGCACGCACCTCCCACCCTGGGACCAAAGCTACCCACGCTGGCGAGCTCGGCTCGCCAGAGCCGCTCACGACAGCCGCATGAGCCCCCCATCCTTGTTGTTCAATACCAAACCCTAACCGACCCCGCGACGTGGCCGCGGCCAGCGACCGCCATGGGTGCCGTTGATTGCCCAGGCCGCCCAGGCATGCAACCACCCCTGGGGCTGACAGGGACATCGGGTGCTCGGGACACTTGTCACAGATTGCCGCAATGCACATGCCGTGGCTGCTGGGCCAACAACCCGCTACTGCATTCTGCGCAGGGGGCCAGCAGCGAAAATAACCTCTGGTAGACATGGGAGGTATTGACTTTCACGTACAATCTTGTCATGCCTCACGTTGATCACCTTGATGCAAACAGCTTGGTTCTGACACAAGCCAGGGACACATCAGCGGCAACCCAACATGACACCCACGGCACCTGGGCCTTGGAGTCGTTTTGGATGGCGCTTGATGGCTGCCTTTGCCTTCTGATGTGCTCTGCTGTATTTGCGCATCTGACTAGCAATCAAGATGTGGTCAAAAGTGCGCACGGTAGGTACATGGCAAGTCCCAAAATTGCAGCGCACAAAATGCCACAGTGGGCGACTTCTGGCACGAGCATCAGGCACTGCAAAGGGTACATACAGTTCCAGGGTCAAGGCTGGCTAGAATACTGGTGTTCTGTACAGTTCTTGGCCGTGAAACCATGTGGTGTGTTTTGGTCCTGTCAATGGACAGCGATGCCATCGCTTTACATCATATGAGTACAGTCATCACACTGCCTGCCCTCCTGTCATCAGCCTAAGTTCACTCATCCAGCAGCCGCACCGAAACCGTGTCCGTCAAGGCTCAGTCCAAGGGAGCAGGTTTGAAAGCCCCTGTGCCTGCTTGAGCGACAGGTACGGTACATTGAAAACATCAAAATGGGCTACGCACAAACAAATTCACCCCCAAGGCAGCCGGCCCCTGGTCATCACTAAAGCAACCCGTATGCCGGTATGGGTCCTCATCGCTCGCGTCTCTGGCCTGCCGGCAGCTTGTGGTGCAGGCGTCACCATGGCCGCCTTCCATATGCAGCCCTAGCCTTTCGTTGTGTTGGAGATGTAACTTCACATGCACCGTTTTGATACACACCCGGTCGACCAACGTGTCTGTGCCTGGAGGATCGAGCGGACAGAGGGAGGTGGCTAGGCTTGTGTACCAACCGGGGCACAGTCGAAAGGGCGGCAAGGTTGGGATCCGTTTACGACTGCTCCCCACAAAGCCCCACAACCACGCCGTAATATGTTGTGGTGTCGGCGGCCCCAGCGCGGGCGTGGCCCGATCGTGAAGTGCACAGAGACCTGCGCAGCGCGCTCTTTGGGGCAGGTTTGGGGTGAGTGAGCGCATGCGAGCGGTGACCCCTCATGCAGGTCACGTCCGCTGTTGTGATACAACGTCTGTCCAAACCACTCGCTATATTGCACTGGCGAGTGCGGACTTTTGGTGCAAGTACAGCGTGCACCACAGGAAATAGAGAGAACTTGCACGCAGGCCGTTCGCCTGCGGCGCTGGGCGATGGTCGGGTTCTGAAGCTGGGTGCTCCTGGCAGAGCATAATGGCACAGCTCGAGGGGCGTGCCAGATCCATCGGAACGCTCACAGGTGATGGAGACAGGCGGGTGTACGGCTTATGGCTTCTCCCATCCTTTACG